AGAGGTTTATTTACATGGTTTTGGCAGACATGAAGATTCGGATGTAAGTTTTATAGGTTAATATAAATTTTAAGTTTTTTTTTTTCAAATGGTTCCATTTAGCTACGCGGCAAAGGTTTAGATTTTGCTTTACTTACAAGAGATTTTAATTTGATTAAATGGATTGGCGCCAATGCCTATCGCACCTCACATTATCCCTATTCGGAAGAATCTATGCAATTTGCAGATGAAAATGGCATTATGATTATTGATGAGTGTTCCAGTGTTAACACAGAGTAAGTTTAAAAGATATAGAAAATTTTTGTAATAAATAGTTGGATAATACTGATTTATATGTTTACACATGATTTCAGTTTTTTCGGATCTGAACTGATGTACAATCATAAATCTGCCTTGGAACAGTTAATACATCGTGATCGTAATCATGCCAGTGTTATAATGTGGTCTTTAGCAAATGAGCCCAGAACATCGAAAAATCAATCGGAACCATATTTTAGGTAAAAGCATTCTGAATGAATTTTATATTTATGAGAATTTGTATAGAAAGAAGTACTCAAATTTTAGTTAGAGTAATCACTGAAGATCTGTAACAGGAATAGAAGATTGTACATTTTTAGTACTTTTTGACTATAGACTAGACTATAGACTGGGTACCGCGGTATTTTTCGATATAAAAAAGTACTGAAAGATTCAGAGATTCAGATTCCTATAAATATTCTTCTTTAGGGAACTGATTCGGTACAACTTCTAGGTCGATACCCTTTGGGATCTTTTTCCAGATCTCTCTTTTCTTTCTTTACGAAGGGAATCACAATGGAACTTATGGTCTCCGAATAGGCAGATTGAAGAGAATTTAAACAGTGGGAACTAGGAGCGATCTTGGAGCGTCATTGCCCATTATATTCCATATCAAACAAAACATATCAATAGACTATAGACTAAACTATAGACTAGACTAGACTATAGACTAGACTATAGACTAGACTATAGACTAGACTATAGACTAGACTATAGACTAGACTAGACTAGACTAGACTATAGACTAGACTATAGACTAGACTATAGACTAGACTATAGACTAGACTAGACTAGACTAGACTATAGACTAGACTATAGACTAGACTAGACTAGACTATAGACTAGACTAGACTAGACTAGACTAGACTATAGACTAGACTATAGACTAGACTATAGACTAGACTATAGACTAGACTATAGACTAGACTATAGACTAGACTATAGACTAGACTATTGACTAGACTATAGACTAGACTATGGACTAGACTATAGTCTAGACTATAGACTAGACTATAGACTAGACTATAGACTAGACTATAGACTAGACTATAGACTGGACTATAGACTAGACTATAGACTAGACTATAGATTAGACTATAGACTAGACGAGAATATACACTAGACTATAGACTAGACTATGGACTAGACTATAGACTAGACTATAGACTAGACTATAGACTAGACTATAGACTAGCCTATAGACTAGACTATAGACTAGACTATAGACTAGACTAGACTATAGACTAGACTATAGACTCGACTATAGACTAGACTAGACTATAGACTATAGACTAGACTAGACTATAGACTAGACTAGACTATAGACTAGACTAGACTAGACTAGACTAGACTAGACTAGACTAGACTAGACTAGACTATAGACTAGACTAGACTATAGACTATAGACTAGACTAGACTATAGACTAGACTAGACTATAGACTAGACTATAGACTAGACTATAGACTAGACTATAGACTAGACTATAGACTAGACTATAGACTAGACTATAGACTAGACTATAGACTAGACTATAGACTAGACTATAGACTAGACTATAGACTAGACTATAGACTAGACTATAGACTAGACTATAGACTAGACTATAGACTAGACTATAGACTAGACTATAGACTAGAATAGACTAGACTATAGACTAGACTATAGACTAGACTATAGACTAGACTATAGACTAGACTATAGACTAGACTATAGACTAGACTATAGACTAGACTATAGACTAGACTATAGACTAGACTATAGACTAGACTATAGACTAGACTATAGACTAGACTATAGACTAGACTATAGACTAGACTATAGTCTAGACTATAGACTAGACTATAAACTAGACTATAGACTAGACTATAGACTAGACTATAGACTAGACTATAGACTAGACTATAGACTAGACTATAGACTAGACTATAGACTAGACTATAGACTAGACTATAGACTAGACTATAGACTAGACTATAGACTAGACTATAGACTAGACTATAGACTAGACTATAGAAAAGACTATAGATTAGACTATAGACTAGACTATAGACTAGACTATAGACTAGACTATAGACTAGACTATAGACTAGACTATAGACTAGACTATAGACTAGACTATAGACTAGACTATAGACTAGACTATAGACTAGACTATAGACTAGACTATAGACTAGACTATAGACTAGACTATAGACTAGACTATAGACTAGACTATAGACTAGACTATAGACTAGACTATAGACTAGACTATAGACTAGACTATAGACTAGACTAGACTATAGACTAGACTATAGACTAGACTATAGACTAGACTATAGACTAGACTATAGACGAGACTATAGACTAGACTATAGACTAGACTATAGACTAGACTATAGACTAGACTATAGACTAGACTATAGACTAGACTATAGACTAGACTATAGACTAGACTATAGACTAGACTATAGACTAGACTATAGACTAGACTATAGACTAGACTATAGGACTATAGACTAGACTATAGACTAGACTATAGACTAGACTATAGACTAGACTATAGACTAGACTATAGACTAGACTATAGACTAGACTATAGACTAGACTATAGACTAGACTATAGACTAGACTATAGACTAGACTATAGACTAGACTATAGACTAGACTATAGACTAGACTATAGACTAGACTATAGACTAGACTATAGACTAGACTATAGACTAGACTATAGACTAGACTATAGACTAGACTATAGACTAGACTATAGACTAGACTATAGACTAGACTATAGACTAGACTATAGACTAGACTATAGACTAGACTATAGACTAGACTATAGACTAGACTATAGACTAGACTATAGACTAGACTATAGACTAGACTATAGACTAGACTATAGACTAGACTATAGACTAGACTATAGACTAGACTATAGACTAGACTATAGACTAGACTATAGACTAGACTATAGACTAGACTATAGACTAGACTATAGACTAGACTATAGACTAGACTATAGACTAGACTAGACTAGACTATAGACTAGACTATAGACTAGACTATAGACTAGACTATAGACTAGACTATAGACTAGACTATAGACTAGACTATAGACTAGACTATAGACTAGACTATAGACTAGACTATAGACTAGACTATAGACTAGACTATAGAGTAGACTATAGACTAGACTATAGACTAGACTATAGACTAGACTATAGACTAGACTATAGACTAGACTATAGACTAGACTATAGACTAGACTATAGACTAGACTATAGACTAGACTATAGACTAGATACCGCTGTATTTTTTGATATCAAAAAGTACTGAAAGTACAAGGAATCCTAGGCTTTTGTGCATGTAATTTGCAGCATACAACTACATTGACTCTACTTTTTTGCCGTGTAGAACGCGAAGAAGCGTAGAACGCGTGGTGTGGACCTCCAGCTTAATTTGACACTGTCCTACAGTTGAAGTAGTTGGTTTAATAAGGGGAATCAGCCACTTCTGCGAATGGGTTTTATATATAGAGATTCAGATTCCTTTACACATTCTTCTTTAGGGAACTGATTCGGTATAACTTATAGGTAGAAACCCTTGGTAGTCGATCTGTTTGCAGCTCATCTCATCTCTTTCTTTATATTCAATTCGTTTTTGGATCTTAACTTCATACGAAATGAATCACAATAGACCTTATGGTCTCCGATTAAACAGTAGAAACTATAACGTAATTGCAATATATCGATGACTTGTTTGATGAGGTTATGAGTACTTTTCTATATTACAAACTCTGCAAGTAATCAATAGGCTTATCAATAAAACACAAATCCAAAGAGTAGTCGTTCGACTAGTCAATAGTCTAGTCTATTTTCTGCCGCTACAACTAATTAAGTAGTATTTTTAAATATATAGATTTTCCGTATCTGATCCTTTAATGAATTAACTTTATTTTAATTTTAGAGAAATTGTACGATATGCTAAGACTCTGGATAAGACAAGACCATTGACTGCATCATTAAATGTAGAAATAGACAAAGATAAATTGGTAATATTAATCCGAAAAACAAATATATTCACACTATATATTAAAGACAATCATTTTCGCAATTGAAGGCTCAATTTTTAGATATTATTAGTTTTAATCGTTATAATGCCTGGTATCGTAATCCCGGACACTTGGATATGATAACAAAAGCTGTTAAAGATGAAGCTACCAACTGGTGGTTGAAATATAATCGACCTATTTTAATGTCGGAATATGGAGCCGATACAATGGAGGGTTTACATGCGGTATAATCATTAAATACTTAACTGCTAAAACTAAACAAATTATTAAAAATATAATTGTTTTTATAGTTACCAGAATATCTTTGGTCTGAAGATTATCAGATGATGTTGCTGGGTAAACATTTTAAGGCTTTCGATGAATTGCGTGAACAAAAATGGTTTATTGGTGAATTTGTATGGAATTTCGCCGATTTTAAAACAGAACAAAGTGTGTATCACATTAATAAATTAAACATGTAATTTGCACTTATTAAAATGATTCTTTACAGCTATTACTCGTGTGGGTGGCAATAAGAAAGGTATATTTACCCGCAATCGCCAACCAAAGACATCAGCCCATTTGTTACGCAAACGTTATTATAGTTTATGTAGTGAATTTTTTGAATGTGAGGCACCTACTGATTTACTTTTTTAAACAATTTTAAAACTTATGTTATAATGTTGTAACATTAGTCCCGGTGCTTTTAGTATTTAAGTATTAATAATAATGTTATCAAGCACAAATAAAAATATTTCTTATTCGCAGCATTGAAGCACATACAAACTAATAAAATAATAAAGATTTTAACAATATAAAATGGTATTTATAAAAAATATGTATATTCTTACATATTGTTACTATTATTCTTATATTTTGTGGCACACTATTTGAAACAACTGATCAGTCTTTAATTATTTATTATAGATTACACCTCATCTTCCGCTGTGGCTGGTTCTATTATTTTCAAACATTCATCGGCAAATTCTAAAAATAGTGGTTCATGCATAGCTGCTCGAATGGCTTTCCAAGCATTTGGTGCTGTATCGATTTCCTTTAATAAATTTCTTAAGTGAGGATTATATAGAAGATTCTTTAGCTCGTCACTTGTGCCTGAAAAAGATAAGATAAAAATTAATATTTTTAGAACTTATTTACATAAAGAGTTCTTAATTCATTATCAAAAATTTCTTATTTGCTCTATTTTTCCAGTCTATGGACTAGTCTTTTAGCTGGTCTATGGACTAGTATATTAGCTAATCTATGAACTAGTCTATTGACTATTATCTAGTATATGTATTAGCCTATTGGCTAAACTAGGACTTTGCTATTGACTAGTTTTTTGACTACTGTTTGCACTGGTCTATTGACTTGTCTATGACTAGTCTATTGTGTAGTCTTTTAGTTTGTCTTTAGACTAGTATATTGGTAAATCTAGGACTAGGCCATTGAAAAGCCTTTTGACTAGTTTATTAACTACTGTTTGCACTCATCTATTGAACAATTCGTATATGGATATTCTTTTGTATATTAGCTACTCTATGGACTAGTATATTTTCTAGACTATGAACTGGTCTATTGACTATTGTATGCACTACATTATGGAGTAATATATTGGCTTACCTATTAACTATTCTATGGACTAGTATATTGATTAATTACATGACAAGTTTATTGAGTAATCTATTGACTACCCTACGAATTAACCGATTGACAATTCTATGGGCTAGTATATTGCTTAGTCTATGATCTAGTTTATAATCTGACGAATGTATGGATAACTTATGAGCAGCTAGTATATGTACTAACCTATTGTCTATTCTACAACTAGGCTATTGAAAAGCCTCTACAATAGTTTATTGCCTACTGTTTGCACAGGTCTATTGACTTGTCTATAACTAGTCTATTGAGTAGTCTGTTAGAAAGTCTTTGGATTAGTATATTGGCTAATCAAGTATTAGGCTTTTAAAAAGTAGATTAGCTACTGTTCGCACATGTCTATTGAACAATTCCTATATGGACTATTTCAGTGTCTAGTTTATTAGCTACGGAGTAGTATATTTTCTATTTACTGCTTTACCTATGAAGTGTGAACTAATTACTTGACAAGTTTATTGAATAATCTATTGACCACCCCACGGATTAACCGATTGACAGTTCTATTGGCAAATCTATGAATTAGACTATTTTATGAAGTAGTATATTGTTTAGTCTATGGTCTAGTCTATACTCTGGCGAATGTATGTTCTACTTATGAAAGTTTGTAAAATGAAAAAGTATGCAAGTTATATACATACGTGGTGTTTCAAAAGCTTTTTCCAATGTCTGATCCACAATATATGTATGTACGTAACTTTCTTTGTCCATACAGTAAATCACTTCTTAAGGAAGAAAAAGTGTTTGCTATTGTAAATATTAATGCCTGCTGAGTTACGTTAGAAGAAATCCTGCGCTCTGAATTATTATCCAAAAGAATGGACGATCATCATTCAGTGCACCTACTAAAGTCTGTCATGTTTAATGTATGTACTATATAAACATACATACCCAATTCCTTCAGTTTTTCCTGTGGCACAGTGTCCTCCGTTTTAAATGGCTCATAGACAGTAGGTTCATTAATATCATTGGAACATTCTTTAACTTCTGCCACCTTTGTTTTTCCATTAAGTTTATCCACACATTGTGGTGACTCTTTGTGTTGTTTATAGCAATCTAGGGAACAGCTTTTGAGAGGAATACACAAAATTTAGAAATCCAAACGTTTTAAAAATTCACAAACTTACTAGGGCTCAAAACATTTGGGACATTTGTATTTATTGGTTGTTTGTTGACACACTATACACTCCGTCATATTTATTATTTTTCTTATTTTAAACTTATATTCATTTATTTACTTCAATAATAATTCGCAAATATTTCACGTGTTGTTTCTAAATTGTTTGTTTACTTTTCGTCTGCTTTGTTTTTTAAATTGTAAACAGCTGTAGTGTTGCCATATGTAAGCGATAAGTACAAATAAATAGTATTGCCAGATTTGTTTTCGGATTTTTCTTGTAGTAAATACCAAAACTCTTTAGAGCTACCAACTTTTTAGCAAAGACAACAATCATTGGTAATTGTTAGTGTTTAGGACTATTGCAATTATAGAACTAAGTACTATTTTTGGGTAATATTAGGTACTTTATTTGTTTTTTCTTTTTATGAATGTAACTTCAAATGTGGACAGATATAAGAAGAGTGTTGTATTCCAAACATATGTATATTGATATTGATATAAGTATTATGGTAACATTCGGAAAAGGTTCTTTTATTAAAATTTATAAGAATGGTTTTTAGAATTTTGGTTTGGACCCTCTATATTAATTTCGTTAATTCGTTGGACATAGACAAATCAATGGTCAGAGGTAGGTAATGTATTGACAGAAATAGGTAACATATATTCACTAAAAAAGTTTTGGATACAGAGACACTAATAGTATAAAAAAGAGAGTCAAATAATTTTGTCCACTTAGATTTTGATTTCGAACCACAGTGCGTATTATGTAAAAATAATATTTTTTATATTAGAAATTACAGGATCAATTGTCATTGGTTTAAAACTCATAAACAAGTATATTTTAATGATAACAATCGATTCCATATTGATAACATTTGGCATCACAAATAGAAATTATCATCAGCATATTAGTTTTGTTATTATTTTCCAAGTTGTTTTCTTTTTGGGTTCTTTCCTCCTTCGTTTATCTTCTTATTATTGACATATTCAACTATTCCTCCGACATTAGCAACCACTTTTTTGTTAATAATCCATACAGTATTAAATCTGTATGAACCACTTATTATGGGCAGAAAAAAATCTACATTATCTGTTCTTAAATCTCTTATCATAACATCGTGCTGAAACATATGTAAATATTTATTATTCATACACATTTTTTTAGTCGGACATTATAAATACTTACATCAAAGGGGCAGCTGTGATTAAAATTCGAATGTTCAGCTATTAGTTTGTAAAAAACTGCCAATGATCTATAACGTTTTCGATTTCTCATAAACTCGCAAGCATCCCATGTAGTATTGAATTTAAACATTGATGCAATATTCGTACCAAATTCTAATTGCAGTATACAGTTTCTTACCGGAATTTGTAGAAGATTGGCATATATTCTTAATATTCCATTAGAATTATTGCACTCTTTGAAAATGGCGAATTTTTCGTCAATTAAATTACACCCAATTCGTGCCAACATCAGGGTACAGAAACACTAAATGTAATATAACAGTGAATATTTTAGTTTTATATTTAAATAATTCATACCTTTTTAGACGAATTCATTAGTATTATTAATAGATATGATGCAATTTTTAACAGGTTCATTCCGCTATAGTTACAGACAAACTGTTTATATTTAAAAGTATGTACATATGTATATCAAATCTGAATTTTTTTATTATTTTTTCTAAATATTTATATTATTTTTTCTAAAAATTAAGAGATTGATCATCACTACCTTTATAGCTAATTAATTTGAGTGTACCATTCAATTATTTGGAGTAATTAAATCTCTTACCATAACACGACTCAGTGAGAACATTCATTTTCTAGCCTCTTATAGATTTCAGCAAAGAAATTTTGGGAAATCGAAGAATGCATCATATGTTCTCTAGAAGATCTGTGACCAGTTGTGAAGTGCAATTGTTTTTAAATGCAAAAACCATTCCTGACAATTGTGAAATAGAAATTAAGAAGGTTGAAAACTATTGGCGTCAAACTAAAGCATGAAAAACGTGGATATTCTCATTAAAAAAAGATCCAGCAGCAGATGTTATATGCCTTGATAAAACCGAATCTATTGTTATACATGATTCTGATATTTTAAAAATCCAAACGTATTGCCAGCTAGAAACAGCTGAAGTAAATCTGTGAGCATATGATACTCGTTTGATATCAACTACATGTACGACAGGGTTCAAAACTAGGTCCAATTCTGTATCTGTTATACGCCAATGTTATGATAAACTCAATTAAAAAGAGCATATGCAGACGATACAGTATTCGTAGTAGCGAATAGAATATTAAAGACTCTACTAGAATTTATGTACGCAAGATCCTAAAAGGTTGTCTTTCGGTCAAACACCGATCCATGGACATGAAAATTTAAAATCTCTTATGGATTTTAATGTCAAAATGTGTGTTTTTGGCGAAACGAGATATTGGATGTATTCCGTTGAATGGTAAAAGGGGTTTACGACATATCCTAATTTGGTTGGTTCACAATATTATGCCAGATCAAATTGATGATAAAATTGTCATCAAAAACAGGGTCTGTGTGGAATCATAAATCTAGATTCGGTATGTATGGCAGAAAAAATGCATAAAAATAATATCCCTGACAACTGCTTAAAGATATAATTTCTCGTATTCTTTATAGTCGTCGTATTGTTGAAGATGGTGGACAATGTATAATGCTAAAGATATGTGAAAATGAAATTGAGGTTGATAATTGCTGGATAGTACTGTGTTGCCCACTGCTTTCGAAAACTTTCAAAGCACACATAAATATGGAGTACTGCAATTCTATGAAGTCAATAAAATACATCTGCAAATATGTTACTAAAGGATCGGATATGGCTTTATTTTCGTTACAAAATCCAAATGACGAAATTGCACACTACCAAATGGCTCAATACATTAGTAGCAATGAAGAAGTTTGGAAAATTTTAGGAATGCAGAGAGCTTCTACCTTCGAAGTATACTAATAAATCGTGAACCAACTTCATTTGAGGACAGAGATTCATGTCAAAAACTTAATTTGTTGGAAAACGATTCACATTGGGAAGCAACACTTGACGATGCGTCGACCACGAAATATTCGGCGCAGATAAGGACATTATTTACCATTATATTGGTATCCTGGTATCCAAATGAACTTTGAAACAAATTTAAATCCTTTGTGCCTTAAGACAAATGAGAATTGTTAGCAACTCTCGATTCCTCTGACGCAATTTATAATAATGCTTTAGTGCTATTGGAGGGAAGACAAATGTTTGCAAATTACATATAAACCTGATGTTATCTGAAGTTTACACCTATTCGAAGAGGTGATGAGGCAAATGACCAAGATCTGAAAAGTGAAATGGGTTACGATTCCACAAGATTTGAAGAATTTGTTGGCAGAGAATTTACCGCAATTACAACTAGAGCAAATGATGTCTTTCGATACAATAATGTCGGCAATTATAAACCAGGATGCACCGAAAAAAATTTTGTCATCTCACTGATTTTTGAGGTGAATTCATTCTTTTAGAGGGTGATTTTCCTCAGAAACTTCAACACCAGCTGATGAACTCAATGCTTGTTTAAAATTATCATCTGGCAACATGTTCACGCATTAAAAGTGGTGTAGGGTATAAATATTAACATCTGCATTAAGGATGTCAGATAACTTTTCTAGATTAAGGATAGACTAGAAAAGGTGAAAAGATTAAGGTTATGTTCTATTGAAGAGTATGTAAAGCGAAAAACCTCACCAGAAAACTGTTATATTAAATAGTAATGCAGTGGAGGGCTGTGTAATACTTTCAACACCAGTCGTCCAAGTGAAAACCGGCCATGGAATGTGGATTAAATACCGAGTGTTATTAGATAGTGGTTCACAGTTAAACATAATTACTCAGGAGTTTAAAAGGAAATTAAAACTGAAGACGCAAAATATAAATACAAAGATTGACGGAATGGAAATAAAGAAACATACTGTGCAGGAGAAAGTGGGTATTCATCTAAGGTCGAGAATATCCGAATACAAAACAATCCTTAATACGGTGGAAATGAGGAAATTTGTATCTAAAGTATCAAATGAGAAAATGATGGCAGAAGTGTTCCCTGATAATATAAATATTCTTAAGGAAACTTGCTTCTGTTTATAATAGATGGGAAAGTACATGATGAGGGATCAAATACTAAATTAGGTTGATTAGGCTAAAGGATACTAGATCGAAAAGGAAGATTATTGCCATGAATAGGGTATCAAAGGAAGGCTGTAATATTATGGAGACATTTCGGATGAATGAAATTTCCGTGCTTTAAATGAAGAGTGAAATGGTAGTTCCTGGGAAAGCTAAACTTGAAGTTTATCTTGGAAAATAACATATCTGGAGAAGTTAGGAAGAAAGGAGGCGTTATCTGAGTCATCAGTAGGTCAAAGTCTAAGAACTATATACGATGACATTCTAAATAGATATGATCTAATAATGTCATCAGCACTTAAGCACGCTAAACGATCCCTGTTACTATTCATTGCAGTTGGGTTTTCGTAAACCAATTAAAAAAACAGATGATTTGTTATGGAACAGAACTTAGCAACTGTGACTTATGATATCTTAGTTCTATTTACAAATCTTTAGTTGAATACTATTCCTCCGAATTCGCCACCCACTTTTTAATTTATAATCCATACAGTGTTAAATTTTTATGAACTACTTACCAAGGGCACCACTTATTATATCCTGAAATGGATATTTATTAATTACTTTTATACATTTTGATATCAATAACTTACATTATATAAACAGCTGTGATTAATATCCGTATGTTCCGCTATTAATTTGTAGAAAATTGCCAATGATCTGCAACGTTTTCTCATAAACTCACCAGCATTTCAAGTTGTATTGAATCTAATCGATGACACAATCAACGAACTAAAATATTGCGAATTTTAAAATATTAATTTTATTCTAATATTGTCTATCATGTTTTAATTTGAAAGTATTGCATCCCGAATTAAAATAGTTTTTTAAATTTATTTTTAGTTCGAAATTATTTAATATTGCCGAAATAAATAGCACACAAAAAAGAGACTGCTTATCATTACTCTAATTATCTAAGGTCAATTAATTTGAGTGTACGGTAATAGAAATAATTCGTTTGATAAAACAGGTAAAAGTGTTATATTCGGCCATGCCGAATCTAATATACCCATCATCAAA